TGGGAAGGGCCGCCGCCCCAAGGCTGGGCGCGGCGGAGGGGCGGCGGGGGTGCGGGCGGGGGTAGTGGTGGGGTCGGGTCGCCTGGTGCTGGAGCGGACGAGGGGACCCTGCCCAGTCCAGCTGAGTCGCCGCCCCTGCAGTTGCAGCAGCCGCAGCAGCCGCCGCAGTCGCAGCCTTCGCAGCAGCTGCAGCAGCCGTCGCAGACGCGGCAGACGAGTGTTCTCCCGCCAGGGTGGCCCGGCGCTGGCGGTGGACGGGCGCGTGGTGGTGTGCCGCGTGGTGGCTCTGCCGGCGGGCGTTGTCAGTACCAGATCCAGACCGGTCCTCGCTGCGGCTTCGTCTGCGGTAAGATCGGTCACTCCACTCCCCGCTGCTTTCGTCGCCTGGACGACCTCTTTCGTCAGCGTTTCGGCCCGTCGCCAGACCTCCCGGACTGGCACAGTTTGCTTAGTCGTCAGATTCAGATCTTTGATATGGACATGGATGCCATTGTTTCTGCTCTGCATGTGATGTATGCTGATGACTCTAGTGTGCTTCCGACTTATTACTCACTGTTGCCTAGTGTAGGTGTGCCTAGCTTCGCCTCCCCTGCTGCGTCAGGCGTAGGATCCCCTGCTTTGTGTAGTCTTGGTGCTTCTGCCGTCGTTCCGTCGCCAGACCCCTCGGCTTCGCTTTCCTTCACCTTGGACTCTGGCGCCTCTCGGTGTTTCTTCCGCGACTCCACCACCCTGACGCCGCTTCCTGTTCCTGCTGCCGTTTCTCTTGCTGACCCCTCCGGCGGTCCGGTAGTCGCCCGCAGTTCCACCACCCTTCCCTGTCCGGCGGTTCCTTCGGGCTCTCTTACAGGTCTGCATATCCCCTCGTTCTCCAGGAACCTAGTTGGTGTCGGCTGCCTCCAGGACCTTGGCGTCACCACTACGTTCCCTGGTCACGAGCGGTATGCTGTCTGTACCGAGGCCGCCACTGGTGCCCCCTGTCCACGTTCCCCCGGGACCCGGTGTCCGGCCTGTTCACTCTGGACACCGTGCCCCCCCCGGCTGGAGCGCCCCCTCAGGTGGCTGTGTCTCCCCAGGTTGCTGCTGCCTGCTCCTGTCGCTCCCTCACTCACCCGACCCTCCTGTGGCACCACCGCCTAGGTCACCCTGCGCTCCCGCGTCTGCGTCACATGTCCCAGCACGGTCTTGTCCTTGGTCTCCCAGGTTCACTCCCCGCGTTTCCCTCCTCCCCAGCTCCACCTTGCACGCCTTGTGTCGAGGGTCGGCTTCGCCGTGCCCCTCACTCCTCCTCGTTCCCCCCTACCGCCGCGCCGCTGCAGACCCTGCACCTGGACGTCTGGGGCCCCGCCCCCGTCCTTGGGCCGCGTCGCGAGCGCTACTTCCTTGTGCTTGTCGACGACTTCACTCGTTACACCACAGTCTTTCCCCTGGAGCGCAAGGCCGACGTGCCTGGCGCCCTCATCCCCTGGCTTGTCTCTGCGCGTGTCCACCGCGGTCTCCCTGTCTTGCGTCTTCACTCAGACCGTGGTGGCGAGTTTGCCTCAGGTGTCCTTGGTTGCTTTTGTCGTGCGGAGGGCATCACCCAGACGTTCACCCTACCGGACTCCCCACAGCAGAATGGGGTCGCTGAGCGACGCATCGGCTTGGTCATGGAGGTCGCTCGCACCTCCATGGTCCATGCCGGTGCACCCCATTTTCTGTGGCCGTTCGCTGTGCGCTACGCTTCTCACCAGCTTAACCTGTGGCCGCACCCTCAGCAGCCGCAGGTTTCGCCGACCCGTCTGTGGACTGGGTCTCCTGGTGACGCGTCTGCGTTCCACGTCTGGGGCTGCCTTGCTCACGTCCGTGCCTCCGGCACGGACAAGCTCACTGCCCGCACCCTTCCCTGCGTCTTCCTCGGTTTTCCCCTTGACGCGTCCGACTGGCACTTTTACCACCCGCCGTCTCACCGCTTCTTTCACTCTCGTGACGTCACCTTTGACGAGTCCGTCTCCTACTACCGCCGCTTCCCCCACCGTGGTCCCCCGGTTACCCCCCCCTTGTTCCTGGTCACCCCTTCCCCGGTAGTCCCTGCCCCTCCTCCTCCTCCTCCCCGTCCCGCCCCCTCTGGTGTCTCCCACGTTACCCCCCTTCCGTCCGTGGACCCGGTTGAGGAGTCTTCTGACTCTGGTGGCCCTCCGGTGCAGTCCTCGCCGGCCGCCCCTCCCCAGGTGTCCCCTCCCCAGTCCCCTCCTCCGCCATCCCTGCCGCCACTGCAGCCGTCGCCGTCGCCGCCGCCGCCGCCGCTGCCGCAGTCGCAGCCCCCGTTCGCTGACTCTGGGGGTGCTCGTCCCGGTCGCCCTGAGGGTGGTCCCTCTGGGGGTGCGGGTGTGGAGAGTGCCGGTGGTAGCCGAGGAGCAGCTTGCGGTCCAGGTGTCGCCGTTGTGCCGCCGCAGCAGCAGTCCCCGCCGGTGTCCGCCCTTCGCCTGCTCGGCCTTCCGTCCCCCGACCCTGCGTCGGTTCCTCCCCGACCGTCTCCTCCTCTTCCTGTCTACGGCCCTGTTTTCCCTCCGTCGGACTCGTCCCCGGCCCGTCTCCCCCCTCGTTCCCCTCCTGTGTCCCCTCCCCTGTCTCCTGACCCGACTCCTCCATCGCACGTCTGGTCTCACCGTCCCTCCCGTGCTCGTCCTGCCTCGCCTGTCCTGCGCTCCCACCCTATGTTGCTTCGTTCACACGCGTCTCGTCCTCCCCTTCTGCCGTCGCCTCCTCCGTCCTCCCTTGTTGTTGCGCCCCCCCCGCTGTCCGACTACCTTCGTGCCGCTCGTCCTCTCGTTCCTCGGGTCCTTGCCTCTCTCGTTACCGACCCGTCTGTTCCAGTCTCGTGCCTTGACGCTCTTGTCGCTGCTGTCGCTGACTTCGCCTCTACCCGCCGCCTTGACTACGCCACCGCTCTGGTCTCTGACCCTGCCTGTCCTCCGTCTGTCGGGGGTGCTCCTGCCCTTGGCAGTGACGTCCTGGAGGACCGCCAGTTCGAGCTTGCTTTCCTCTCCGAGGCTGCTCCCCATCTCTGTTCCATGCTGCTAGTCCCTGAGGGTGACCCCGACGCTTTCGACATCCCGACCCCTCGCACTTACGCTGAGGCGACTTCGGGACCCTGGGCCTCGCAGTGGATAGCTGCCATGGAGCAGGAGATGGCATCTTGGAGATCCACCGGCACCTTCGTCGACGCAGTTCCCCCGCCTGGGGTGAACGTAGTCGATGGCCGCTGGCTCTTCAAGGTGAAGCGCCCTCCTGGAGAGCCACCTGTCTTCAAGGCGCGCTATGTGGCTAGAGGCTTCAGTCAGCGCGAGGGGGTGGACTTCTTCCAGACTTTCGCTCCGACCCCGAAGATGACTACTCTTCGGGTTCTGTTACACCTAGCTGCTCAGCGTGACTACGAGCTTCACTCCCTCGACTTCTCCACTGCCTTCCTTCAGGGCAGCCTACACGAGCAGGTCTACCTGCGTCGCCCTCCGGGCTTTACTGGCACCTTCCCTCCTGGGACCCAGTGGCTCCTGCGGCGCCCCGTCTACGGCCTGCGCCAGGCTCCCCGTGAGTGGCACGACATTCTTCGTGCTACCCTTGCTGACCTGCAGTTCTTTCCATCTTCCGCAGACCCTTCACTCTTCGTTCGTGCTGGCCAGACTCCGTTCTACATCCTTGTTTACGTCGACGACCTGGTCTTTGCGACGGCAGACAGGGACGCACTGGCCTCCGTGAAGGCAGAGCTGCTGAAGAGACACACGTGCACTGACCTTGGAGAACTGCGCCGTTACCTTGGCTTGCAGATCTCCAGGGACAGAGCTGCGCGCACCATCACCCTGACTCAGTCACACTTGGTGCGCCAGGTCCTTCAGAGGTTCAGCCTTCAATTCTCCTCTGCACAGCCCACCCCTCTGCCCGTAGACCACAGACTCTCCGCTCCAGTACCTGAGGAGTTGGTAGAGCCCAGCGGCCCCTACGCAGAGCTGGTGGGTTGCCTCATGTACCTGATGACTTGCACTCGCCCAGATCTCGCATACCCTCTCAGCATCCTGGCGCGCTTTGTGGCCACAGGCAGACACCGACCGCAGCACTGGTCTGCCGCTAAGAGGGTTCTGCGTTATCTTGCTAGTACATCGGGCATGGGGTTAGTGCTTGGAGGACGCAGGCCAGTGGTCCTTATTGGACACACAGACGCTTCGTGGGCAGACGACGCTGAGACACTCAGGTCTACCCAGGGCTACTGCTTCAGCCTTGGCTCAGGTGCCGTCTCGTGGAGAGCTACTCGCTCCTCGTCTGTTGCTCAGTCCAGCTGTGAGGCCGAGATCTACGCTGGTGCCATGGCGGCACAGGAGCTCCGCTGGCTGACCTTCTTGCTCACTGACTTAGGTGAGCGGCCTAGCTCTGCCCCGGTCCTGTACGCTGACAACAGGGCCATGATCCTCCTGTGTCAGGAGCCTCGACTCGAGGGCAGAGCGAAGCACATTCAGCTGCGGTACTTCCTCCTGCGTGAGCTGCAGCAGCGACGTCAGGCTCGCGTAGTACACTTGGCCTCAGGTGCCAACACAGCTGATATCTTTACGAAGGCGCTTGCGCCTAAAGATCATCAGCGGCACTGTGTACAGCTTGGTCTAGTTCCTGTCGCTTCTCACTTGCTAGGACCTTGACTTGTACTGTCCTTTATATGTATACTCAGACTGGACTTGTGTCCTCTCCCAGTGGCTGGACTAGTAGTGCCGCCCTGGTCTTGTTCTTGCCTTGTCTGTACTCCTTCTGACTGGTCTCTTAGACCCTTGTCTCAGAGGTTGGATTAGTAGTGCCGCCCTGAGCTGCTTGTTTAGGGTATTCCCCTATGCAGTCTAGGGGGTGTGTCAAACATCTGTATTTGTCATGTTTGTATAGACTGTATAGGGTTACCTCTTAGAGGGTACAACACTTAGGTATATTTGTGTGTACTCTCACTTTACCATCATTCAATTCCAATTCTTATAAAGTGTCCTATGTCTTACGAGTCTTACTACTCCAAATACGATATGAATGCGTGAGTGCACAATGGTATCTTGGGTGATCTACGGTATGATGCATTTGCTATATGAAGGGAAAACGAAAAGGTGGGGGGGACAAACCCTGTTCATTGAAGGAGGCCACAAAATTGGTAGCAGTAGCGTTTGGGTGGGGGGGAATCAGCGGGGGAAATCAGCAAGGCACCTTTCCATTTAGACATTTGAGGGTTGTCTATATAGGCAGGTCTTCCCAACCTTGTACCCCCATCCCTACACTAATGTCTCCTCCCCTCCCCCAACAACTTCCAGGCTGCCCCTCCATTGGGGCAGCAGGACCGCCAGCAAGGCGGGCTATGATTGGATGCTGGGGTCCAGGAGGGGAGGAGGAGGAGGTGGAGAGGAGGCGTGAGGGGAGGAGGAGGACGGTGGATAGGAAGGTTGATGGGTGGAGGACGGCGGAAGAGAGGGGGAAGGGAGGGGAGTGGAGACTGTCACCCGTGCAAGACACTCATAGACCTAAGGGGGAGGTGGGGTGGGGAGAGGGGAAGAGGGGTCTATCAAACAAAAAAGAGTCGAGGAGAGGAGTGAAAGAGGGAAGAGGTGGGGGTGAGACCAAGTGAGGCCAAGGATAGGCGACACCTAAGACCCTTACTTCGACCACTGCTGCACAGTTCTAAACGTCTCAAAATCAACTGTGGAACCACTCTGCTACACTCTGCTCTGCGTGGATGGTGGAAACCTGAGACCCTTACTTTGACCACTGCAGCATCGTCTTCTCTTCCCAGTCCTGCTGCCGCGCCTGATTCCCGGGCCAGTCATGCACGGCAGGGGGAGCAACGAGAAACGGCACAAGGAAGAGGATGGTAGTGGGCAGAGGGGATCCGGTCTGGGCTAGATGTGGTGAGGCTACCACCATGCACAGGCAGCGGAGGGGCAACGGAGGGAGAGAACGCGGGGGGGGAGGGGGGGCATTGCTTGGTAGGACAGAGCCTTACCTTCGAATGTGTACTGTGCCAGTTACCAAAACAAGGACCATGCGAGAGAGAGGGTGGGGTGGGGTGGGGTGGGCGAACCTGTGAGGAACTGCTGGAGTGCGGCAGCAGCTAGGGGCACAGGAAAGGCCATCGCCTGCGCCTCACCAAGAATTATGCCCTGGCGAGGGGGGGGAAGGGGAAGGGGAAGGTGGAGAGGGGGAGGGGAGAGAGGAAAGGGGGCGGATGGAGATTATTCTGGGGGACGGTGGGGGGGTGAGGGGGAGGAGTGGATGGAAAGAATATCCGGAAGTAGCATTGCGAACGATTACGAGAGACAGCCAGCGAGAACGTGTGACGTTGTTTGGAATTTGGCTAGGGACACGGGGTGAGGGAGGGATATTGAGGGATATCGAGGGATATTGAGGGATATCGAGGGATATTGAGGGATATCGAGTGAGGGGTATCAGGGATATTGGCGCACCTGCATGCACCAGGTCCAACAGAAGGTGGTTAATACTGACCGAACTGTACCATTACAGAAGGTCCCAGACGAAGCTACTAACCGCACTGCACCGTACCAGGTGCTACAGAAGGTGGCCAATGCTGACTGCAGCGTACCAGGTCCTTGATAAAGTTGTTGAGGGCTCCGCGAGGGGTGTAGTCGTCATTGAGCATGTGCGGCACTCGGTTCTCAAACATCCTGGGGACGGGAGGAACATGAGGTATGTTGGGAGGCGCATGCGGTGTGATGGGGAGCACACGAGGTATGTGCGGCACTCGGTTTCCAAACATCCTGGGGACGGAAGGCACAATGGGGGGTGACATGGGAAACAAGAGGTGGTGGGGAATCGACTCCCAGTGGGGACAGGGAAGGTGGAGGAGGTATAGGCGGTATCTGGCATGTGGGGCATGTGGCGCATGTGGGTCACTCCGTTCTCTCACATCCTGGGGGATGGGAAGCACATAAGGTGTGATGCGGCGCCCATGAGGTGATAGGCAAGAAAGGCAGTGGACTCAGGGCAACATGCGAGTGAGATGATGGGAATATGAGATGATGGGATGATGGGATGATGAGATGATGGGATGATGCCATATGGTTAGCAGCCTTGAAACATGGCTTGTTAATGCGACGCATCAAGATGTCTCCATGAATGACCATCTCACCACACACCGACAAGCATCGTACGTACCACTAGTTGCCAGCAGCATGGGATACGACGTCAAACACCATGCGTGGGTTGAGCCCCGCCCTCGCTGCTAGAGCCATGGCCTCCGCTGCTGCCAGCACGTGCACCCCGGCCAGCAGCTGATTGACCATCTTCATCATGCTGAGTGGAGGGAGGGGACGGGAGGGGAGAGAAGGGAAGGGAGGAGGACGCGTGAATGGATCATCCACCTCTTGCTGCTGCCACCACGTGCACCCCGGCCAGCAGCTGATTCCCCATCTTCATCGTGCTGCATGTGGAAGGGGGGAGCGATGGGAGGGCATCGACGAGGGGCAGCAACACGTGGAGAAGTGGAGCAATATCCCCACATATCACATGCCCACATGTCGCATGCCCACATATCGCATGCCAACATGTCGCATGCCCACATGTCGCATGCCAACATGTCGCATGCCCACATGTCGCATGCCCTCATATCCCATGCCCACAAATCCCATGCCCTCGTATCCCATGCCCTCCAATGCCATGCCCTCGTATCCCAACCTGAGCAGGTAGGCCAGCAGATGGAGAGCGGGACAGGGCGTGATGCAAGCCGGGCGATGGAGTGGATGCAGTGAGTTCCGTGGGAGGTACGAACGGCTCTCGACACACATTTCCCCCCATGCCACATACTACCTTTCCCTTCCCACCAACGTCCCACGCGCCTTCCTCTCACCGCACTACAACTCTTCCAACCTGTCCTCCTGTCACGGAAAGCACACAGCCCTGCCTACCTGCCTGCTCCTGGCTGATCGCCAACGGTGTAGAGATGCACACTCATGGCTGCACAAGGGCATGGGCAGGCGGATGGGCATGGGGATGGGCAAGGGGATGGGGATGGGGATGGGGATGGGGATGGGGATGGGGATGGGGATGGGGATGGGGATGGGCATGGGGATGGGCATGGGGATGGGGATGGGGATGGGGATGGGGATGGGGATGGGGATGGGGATGGGCATGGGGATGGGGATGGGGATGGGGATGGGGATGGGGATGGGGATGGGGATGGGGATGGGGATGGGGATGGGCATGGGGATGGGGATGGGGATGGGGATGGGGATGGGGATGGGGATGGGGATGGGGATGGGGATGGGGATGGGCATGGGCATGGGGATGGGGATGGGGATGGGCATGGGCATGGGGATGGGGATGGGCATGGGGATGGGCATGGGGATGGGCATGGGGATGGGGATGGGGATGGGGATGGGGATGGGGATGGGGATGGGGATGGGGATGGGGATGGGGATGGGGATGGGGATGGGGATGGGGATGGGGATGGGATGGGGATGGGGATGGGCATGGGGATGGGGATGGACATGGGGATGGGGATGGGGATGGGCATGGGGATGGGGATGGGCATGGGTATGGGGATGGGGATGGGCATGGGGATGGGCATGGGGATGGGGATGGGCATGGGGATGGGGATGGGCATGGGGATGGGGATGGGGATGGGCATGGGGATGGGGATGGGCATGGGGATGGGGATGGGCATGGGGATGGGGATGGGCATGGGGATGGGGATGGGGATGGGCATGGGGATGGGGATGGGCATGGGGATGGGGATGGGCATGGGGATGGGGATGGACATGGGGATGGGGATGGGGATGGGGATGGGGATGGGGATGGGGATGGGGATGGGGATGGGGATGGGGATGGGCATGGGCATGGGCATGGGGATGGGGATGGGCATGGGCATGGGGATGGGGATGGGCATGGGCATGGGGATGGGGATGGGGATGGGCATGGGGATGGGGATGGGGATGGGCATGGGGATGGGGATGGGAATGGGGATGGGGATGGGCATGGGGATGGGGATGGGGATGGGCATGAGGATGGGGATGGGGATGGGCATGGGCATGGGGATGGGGATGGGCATGGGGATGGGGATGGGGATGGGCATGGGCATGGGGATGGGGATGGGCATGGGGATGGGGTTGGGCATGGGGATGGGGATGGACATGGGGATGGGGATGGGGATGGGGATGGGGATGGGGATGGGGATGGGGATGGGGATGGGCATGGGCATGGGGATGGGGATGGGCATGGGGATGGGGATGGGCATGGGGATGGGGATGGGGATGGGCATGGGGATGGGGATGGGGATGGGGATGGGGATGGGCATAGGACAAAGCCATCGAAGAAAACGAGAGACGAGGAGGCAAAGCACAGGGGAGAAGAGGGAGCAGCGGTGGGGCAAGCTTGCCTTCCAGCACTGGCCGCGCCTTGGCAAGAGCAGCAGGTGCAGCCGAGGCCATGATCTGCAGAGTTGTGGGAGGGGAGGCGTATGAGTAAGGGGAGAGGGGAGTGGGGAGAGGGGAGAGGGGAGAGGGGAGAGGGGCGGGAGGGGAGTGCGGAAGAGGAGAAAGAGGGTGAGAGAGAGAGGGTGGGGGTCCGTAGACACATCTAGCAGGAGAGGAGCAGACACACAGACAGACTTGTGCAAAAGGACAACAGAACGGTGATAGGGTGGGCGGAAGTGAGGAGACGAGCCAAGCCATTGAACGAACAGGCGAGGTAGGAGACAGAGAGGGCGAGTCTGGGTCAGCCTGCCAGGTAGCGCACAGCCCGAATGCTCTGATAAGAGGCTGCAGTTGGGTTGAAACATCAGTTCTAAGCGGCTTTCTGCACGTACATTCGGCGTTCAGTGCGTGTGCCAACTATACTAGACTAGACTGCGTCTCACAGTGAGGGTGCCGCCGTCAGCAGCACATGCCACCCCTCCTGACACGGGTGCATCCACCAGCTCCCACGCCTCGCCCTGGGCTGCACGGAATGGCAGGGGAAATGGAGCGGGCAGAGGATGGGATAGGGCATGGCACGAGCTGCTGACACCGGCGCATCCACCAGCTCCCACGCACGCCTTGCCCTGGGCTGCAGGGAAGAGTACCTACAAGTGCACTCTGACACTAGCACTTCCAAGCGTTGAATCTTGAACACAGTTGCAGCCACATATCGACCAGATGGCACCATACTGGCGTTCCACCATGCCACCCCTCCTGGCACCGGTGCATCCACCAGCTCTCACGCTGTGCCCTGGGCTGCAGGGAACGGGGAGGAGATGTTATTTTTTTCTCTCACATGGTGCAGCGGGACAAGCAATTCCACCCGGCAAGCTTCGCACGATGTGTACTGCTGTACCCAACGGCCTGCAGTGCCAGCTTCAGGCTAATCCTGAGGGCAGAGCCAGACGGACTGCAGAACGTACCTGATAGCTTCAGGCAGAGGCTGCGGTGTGGGCAAAGTCAGGGCAGCGAGGTTTCTCCTAAGTCAGCTCAAAATGCATCTCGCTCACTCGCTCAGAGTACTCACCTGCCAGCTTGCGGCCGAGGCTGCAGGCAAAGTCAGGCGGCACAGTGGAGCAGAGCACGACCACAGCAGCGCGGGGGAGTGCTGGGAGGGGCGCAGGAGGGGCGCAGGAGGGGAAGGAGATGGAGGGGAATGGAGAGAGGCTGGGGATAACAGCATCTCTCACATTCTCTCGCACACTCTCCTCCATCACATACTGCATGAAACCTCAGAAGACACCACCAAACAGAGCCCCCTCTGCCTGCTGTCATGAGCCTCTTCACCTCCATACACTCACACCCTCTTGCGCCCTAAATCAGAGCTAGTCGTTTGCAGAACTCACCATCCAACGCTCCCTGATTCCCAAAGAGAGCCGCCTCTGCCTGCTGCGATGTGGCAATCATCAGCACCACGACAGGCGCGCCTGAGAGAGACACACACGCCGGGGCGCAACAAAGGGTGGGGGGGGGGGGGCGAGCGGGTAGCGGGGTGAGAGTTCTGAGGCGCCTCAAAAGTGATCCTCGAGCTGCCTCTGCCTGCTGTGCCGTGGCCACGCGAGGGGGCACGAGGACAGGCGCGGCTGAGAGACAAACACTGGGGGACAACCGGTACGGTGGTAGGGTAGGGAGGAAGGGAAGTGGGTGGAGGGGGGTCACATGAGGACACGAGGAGAAGGCGACTGAAAGTAGAGGAGAGGGGGATTCGGACGAGGAAGGGGTTTGGGGGAAGTTTGGAATGGATTCAAACAAGAGACTGAGAAAAGAGCAGGCAGCAAGACTGGTTAGGAAGACGAGAAAGGGAGCAGCAAAGAGGCAAGCCTTACCTTCAGCAGCATCGGCTGCAGAGGCTGCAGCAGCACCCCCTGCTGCTTTCAGCTTCTCACATGCAGGGGGGTATACCTGTGGGGCAGCATGGGGCGAGCGAGCGAACGGGGAACAGGGGGGAAGGAAGAGGGAAGGATAAGGCAACCAGTCACACCATATAAATACCACCTGCACGCATCAGACACCCACCCACTCACATCGAATCCCTTCACAGCGAAGCCTTGCTTCACCAGAGCTGCTGCCATGCCGGCGCCCATCGCACCCAGACCCACGAATCCCACCGCCCTCTCGCTGCCACCGCCACCACCACACCCATCAGATTCCACCGCCTTTTTAACGCCACCAAAACCACCGCTGCCAGCAGTCACGGTGGTCCGAGCGTCGCTAGGAAGAGACATGGCTCGAGGGCTGAAAGCGAGAGAATATATGACACCAATGCGCAGCCTTATTGGCGAGGGAGTGAGGATCAGAGGATCAGAGGATCAAGGGATGGTCCTTAGGGATCTGAGGATGATCGGGGACAGTGGAATCTTGGAATCTCTGCGACGGTGCCTTGAGAGGCGCGTCAGTGGCTGTGGGGGATTTCTAGGGCTAGATGGCTTGATGGTGCGTTGGGGCACCGCGCAGGGTGCGCCGTCGCGTTTCGAGAGCGATTCGGACGGATCCATGGTGTCGCATGCAGGTGTTTGAACACCGTGTTTCTGAGGTTAGAGGCCGGACTCCCAGCTGAATGTCACCAGACGACACGGCGCAGCGAATTTGCGAAAAATGCTTTTGCGAATAGCGAAATTGAGGATTGGCGATGCCCATGGCCCCTGCCCATACAGGCATGTAGTGTGGTGTGGACTGATGGGTTGACTCCATGCAGGACGGCATCTTCGTTCCACAGCTCCGTGCCTTACTGGTAGCCATGCAATGCGACCAGCTTGGAAATGTGAATTCTTAGGCAGGCCCATTGCTAATGGGCACAAGGGGTCTTCTATATCTCCACAAGGTAGACACCATGAAATTTGTATGATGATAAAATTATAGGGCGGAGCTTTATAAGAAGCAGATGAAAATTCATTGTTTTGTCAGTATATTGATTAAAATTGAAAAACATATATACATAAATAATCATATTCATATGTTTGGAATGCATATTGTACATAGAACTATTTATAATTCTGTATATGTTACTCTATGGTGCTTTCATTTATTCTTCTTCTCCAAGCCCAGCTCGTTTCTGTTCGTCGGCATTCTGAAACCGAAGTGAACACGATACTAGCGGACCTTCCTCATTTTCCTAGAAACGAACGCCCCCTCCATGGCAATTGTAGTTGCAGGGGCTGTTGCTCCGTTTCCAGCTACATGCCGTGCTCGTAGTAACGTGCTTCTCGGGCATGACGAAGTTCTTCCGCCTTGTACCATCCGCGTGACAGCTTCGTTACACGCACAATTCTTGGTGCGAACCTTTTGGAATGAACGACCGAAACGTTTTTTTTGCTGGGGGGTAATTATCCCACGATCATCGCGAGCAACTAGTCTCGACAATCACAACGGCAGCAGGAGAGTACGGAGGGCCAGAGCGGCCGCTTTACGCGTGGCTGGCTAATGGCTTTCGTCGCCGCCTCCGCCTCGTTATTCGCGAAACGCCGTTCAGGCACCTTCCAGCTAATGACTTCGTTATTGCGCTGCATGAATAGGCACCGTTCGCCGTTGTTCCTTAGGCAAGTCGCGATCGTACGAGACTGCCAGTGCTATGAAGGCGTTTCACCTGCTGCTCCTGGGGGTCTCCTTCCTGGTTCCCCTCTGCGGAGCCGCAGCGACGGCAGCGAGAAGGACGGCGAGTGAAGCGCTGTGGAAGAGCTTGCTGTCCGACGGCATGTACCCGACTCCTGCAGTTGAGGTCAGTGGGAAAGGCCTCACGTTGCGCGAATCAACCTGGGCTGCGAGTTAACGAACGAGCCTTTTTTCGCCGACTATGCGGAAAGGCTGTTGAATCCCCCTGTTCGAATGGTGTGCTCTCTCAAGCTTGTCATTTCCCACTGTCCCGCGTATCCACAACATCTCGCTTCTCGACCTTGCATGCCGATTGTAGGAAGTCATGCTTTCAGCGGACACTCTCCGTGAACGTTGGTTTCTTGGTCCCTGCAGCCCCTCACACCAACCCTTACCTCCCCCATTCCCTCTGCAGCCCTCACCCCAACTGCTGCTTCCCTGGCGGCTCCAATCGCTGCTCCCATCGCTACCGTTGCTGCGCGGTCATCCGTTCCGTGGCAGCCGGAAGCAGGTCCTGGCGGGGTCAGGCAACACGATGTACCAGCAGGAGAAGAACGCCGGCAGCATCAACAACCAGGGCTCCGTCAACAACCAGCGCTCCAAGGTCTACCGAGACGGGCCCGGCCTCGGCAGCGCCTCCACGGTGCAGTCCAACTCGCAGACGCAGCAGGCAGACACCAATCCGGTTACCACCACCGTGTCGGTTGACTCGCCGTCTGTCTCGACCGATTACACAGGCTCGGCGAACGGCCTTTATGGCTTGGCCAGCTCGGGATTGGGCTCAGTCCCGGGGTATGGCACGGGGATTGGTCTGCCAGGGATTGGTATTCCGGGAGGCGCGGCTGGCGTCGGGGTTGGAATCGCTCAAGCTGCGCTGCCCTTTTCCAGCGGCGTTTTACGGCAGGATGTGTCGCCGGTGTGCGAGTCTCAGCAGTCTGGTGGTGGGTGCAATGATGGGAGCCGGATCCCACTGTCGCGTGCTAGTGGGCAGCCGGCTCAAACGATCTCTTCTATCCCCTCTGGGGCAGCTTGAAGGGCATGTGTGCTGTCCTGCATTGGCTTGGTCGCTTGGCTCGTTCTGTGGGTAGCTGAAGCGGATGTTTCCATGTGGTGTTAGGCGAGGATGTCAAGAAAACAGACCTCTTTATCTGTGCACTTGGCGAGTTGACACATCGAGTGCTGGTATGATGTGCCTTGCTGGCCTTGTAGGCAACAAACCTTCTCACCAACACCCGATGAATGGTTGGGTTGGGTGGGGAGGGGAGGGGTCGATAATCGAGAAGTTGTAGGGGAATTTGTGCTCTAGGATTGTATAATATTTCCACAATTATAACGGTGCAGTGTAGAAAAAATTGTCACCGAAATGTACCTACCGTAGGAGTTTATAATGGGGAGCTGGAATATTGGGATGTGATTTACCCGTATGAAGCTGCTTTCAAACAACACAAGCGTGTTTCTGCACATCGTCATACGGTACTTACAGCGAGTCAGCAGCTCGCCAGGCCACACAAACTCCAACCTTCATCCAAGTATAGATACCACGCCTCCAGACCACACCAGAGCGTAGCGCCTTTCTCCCGCAGCAGCCATGGCGGGCATGCCGCGCTTGGTTCCTGCTCACGTGGCGGAGAACGTCGTCCGCGTGAGTGCTGCCGCCGTCTCTCTGCTGTAACTCGCTCCCTCTCGCTCGCTGTTGTCACTCGCTCTGTCTCGTTACTGTCATCCGCATCTGTCCTCCTCTTTCTCCTCCCTATCCTCCTCCTCCTCCCTCCGTCGTCCTAGCTCGCTCCTCTCAACTGACTCGCATCGCTCCTTTCTCACGCGCTGATCGCTCCCCTTCCCGCGCATCTCACATTCTCCTTCTCCCCTCCCCTGGCACCACCTAATCGCGCTCTGCCACGCCGCTGCCGCTTTCCGTCGATCTCCTTCCCCCCCTTTCTCCCCTCCCCCCTTCCCCTCCGTCCCACTCCCCACTGCCCCCCCCTCCCTTCCAGCCTTTTTTGGCTATCGAATAAAGATTTGGCTTTCTTTCGCTGCTCGATTTGCCTCTGTGTGTGCGTTTTGGGGGTGGTGTCTTGGGAGAGTGGAGAAGGGTGGGTATGATGGGGTATGGCTGGGTGTGTTGGGGTGTGGCTGGGTGTGATGGGGTATGGCTGGGTGTGATGCTGCCACGGTGCATTGTCACGAGCAGCTATACCGTGACTGTCTTCGCATGGCGGATTACCTCACTCACTCGGTGCGTCTCCCCTCCCTCACTCCCCCTTCCCCTTCCCCTCCTTCTGCCTCTCCCCCTCTCTCCCACCTCCCCTTATCCACTATCCTCCGCTTGCATCTACGACCCGTCCTCCTGCCCCCCCCCACTGATACCTTCTCCTCCACCAGTCCATGCCGGTTTGTTACCACTATCACCCACTCCCACGTGCCACTTTCTCGTGCCTGTGCTTGCAATATGGCCGAGCCTCCAGATAACTTTTGAGCGGACTTAAAAGTCAAGAGCCTCCAGTCTTGCACTTGAGCTGGTGGTTTAATGAATCCTTAACCGTGATTCTTATACTTCAATCCCCTGGTTGCACTGCACCCCGTGAATTTACGCAACCACCATGTAACCACCATGCAACCATTCCCTGAACCCCTGATTTATATTTAAACCCCATCCCCCATGTGCAACGCACTCCTCTTCTGTGCTGACCTGCCTCCTGACGGCCTCCCTCCCTGCATGCCTGCATGCCTCCCTCTATGCATGCCTGCATGCATGGATGTGTGCATCAGAGGGGTCGGGGGCCGTCAGTGAGGGAGCACATCCGCAGCGAGTTCAGGAAGCATGCGCACGAGACAGACCCCGCCAAGATAGCGGAGCTCAAGGAAAGGTATGATGCACTGCACCTCTTGCCGGTATGCGACCCTTTCCGGTATGTGCGGCATGTGAGGTATGTGTGGCATGTGAGGTATGTGCGGCATGTGCGACACCTCATTCCGGTGTGAGTTGGTGCTCCTGTTCGAAGCTTCAGGTAGCATTGCCAGCCTGCACTCCTCTTGTGCACTTAGGAGGTGACTGTGTGCGATACATTGTGCCAGGAGAGTGTGAGGAAGCAACTTGCTCTCCATGTGCCATCTAGCTATGCCCTTTCCACACAACTGCCTTCCGTTCCTCTCGCCACTCTTCAAACCCTCTCTCCTCTCCTCCCTCTCAAGCCACTTCCCTCTATGCTTCATCAACCCCAATCTTCATCCCCCGGGTCCCTCCCCCCACCTCTGGAACTCCAGTGCGGTGAGAGCTTTATCCAACTACATGATATATGAGGCAGGCAACTTAGCACGGCGAGGCAAGATACTGCGCCCCAGATGATCACAACATACTCCACCTTACTGAGTGTCACGACTCAGAACGATACTGGATGCTGACAAGAGATTCCGCCTTACTGAGTGTCACGATGCTGCGTTCTACATGATGAGAGAACACTCCGCCCAACTGTGTCACAATACTGTGCTCGGGATGATGCTGCATGCATTTGAGGTCGCATGAGCTGTGGCCGTAGCTGCATGCCATGTCAGAAAAGTAACAGTAGCCTTCATAATGATTGAGGCTGCTCTGGTGGGAAAAGACCAGTGGGTGCTAGAATACCACATGACCATAGCTGTTGACAAAATTTGGCTTTTGTAGCGGAACATCCAAAAAGTACAAGCAGATACCGCATGACAAGTGGTTGCTAGTATGTATAAATCCTACACTAGCCACTGATGCACTGTAATAGGATCCTAAACTGAAGGGTGAACAAAACTACCACGTCCTAGTATGTGAAGCCAGCAAGTGGGGAATGGCAGCAGGGAGCACGGACTTGCACCATGACACCACCAGTCATCACAGCTACACCACAATCGCAGGGCTAACAGTCACAACATGCGACATGTCCTCCCGCATTAATTGCTAACCGGCCAGCAGCCAGATTGGAGGGAAAGAGCTTGCAGAGGGGGGAGAGGGGGGGGGGGGGGGGGTGGGGGGGGTACCAGCACGACAGAGCATGCGGGGCAAAGCTTGGCGCGGAACGAGAAGCGGACATCAAGCGACGGATGCGTGTGGGAAAATAACACTGGACGACGGTGACCTGAAGCGGACCAACTAGACGCGCGGAAGGAAGGTAGGAAGATGTAGCAAGCAACCACCCCTTTCTTATGATGGCCCAGAAAGCCAGCAACCCTCTGCCTACTCCGGCTATCTCCTCCTTGCCCCGGTGCCTCGTGCTCCTCCTTGGACCCGGTTATCATTTCTCAATGTCGTAATCCGACTTCGTCCCCGTGACCATCCCGTACTTCTCTTTCATCTTTTGCGCCAGCTTATGCGCGCTCGTGGATTCCATGCGCGCGCGCCGCTGCTCCTCCTTAATCGCGTCCGCCGCCGCTTTCTTCGCCGCCGACGCCGAGTCGAGCTCCTCGTACCCCCCGTCCAGGCACCCGCACGACTGCGCGCAGCAGGTGAGGATCATCAGCAGGAGCTGGAGCGTGAAAAGCGCGAGCATGATTCCGCCTTCGACGATCATGAGATCGTGCGCCTTGTCAAGCGCGATGGTCGGCTGCATGTCGCCGACGAGCGTGTCGGGCTTTGCGACGGCGATGATCCCCGTGGCGCATGTTCCGGCGATGGAGAGCGCGTGCAGGAGCAGGTGGATTCCGCAGCAGCCGAATCGGCCGGAGAAAAATACGCCGAAGACTCCGGAGAGGAAGGTGATGGCGCCGACGATTATGAATCCCCAGCCCGCTGGGAAGGTGGGGTTGGGCCGGATGACGAAGATTAGAGCGACGGATGCGATGGATCCCGCGAGGACGATTATGTGAAGGACGGTCAGGATGAAGACGAAGCAATTCGCGAAGCAGCTGCGGAAGCTGAAAGCCATGGCGGGAAACTGATTAGGATTATATGGAGAAACTTGAGCCTGAAGTATTCTCGCTAAAATCCTTCCGCAAAAATCTAGCAGAAGATGATCCTGAATGTTGTTTGCGCCTGGAAAGCTAGCAATGAAGGAGCTGGAACATGCTAGAGGTGAATCTGAGCAAAAGCACAGGGGAGGGGAGGGGAGGGGAGGGGAGAGCAGAGCACTGCTGTGGTGGCATGGTGGGGGCAGACAGGCTGGCTCCACCCGAGCCGGAATGAAGGACAGCGTGTGGCGGGGGGTTGATGGCTCGGGGATGCGGAGCGGGGCGGGCGGGGGGGGGGTGTGGGGGGGAGAGTGGGGGGGGGGGGGGGTAGGGGGGGGTCCCTAGACTCAGAGCTGGCCACCGCAAATGGGACTAGCAGCGGAGATAGGGCGGAAGAGAGTGACTAAAGTGGCGGAAGCCAGGGCTTGACGGGGATGGATGTTCTCGGAGGGTCGCGCAACCTTGCGGTAATTTCGAGCCGCGCTGATGGGGGAGTTGGTCCTTCAGCGCATGGGGCAGGTGCTGGCTCATATTCCCAGTGGACACGGCCCGTGCCCGCGCGAGAGATGCGGAGGAATGGGTCAATTTTGAACGCGGAGAGGTGAACTGTATTCACTAGATTTTGTCAAATGGGCGAGCGATATCTCGAGGATAAGATGTATATAGGAATATAGAAATCTTCGGGCTTGGGTGAGAACAGAAAAATAAAGGTAAAACACATCATTCAATCGCAGCTCTAGACAGCACTCCGAAATTTTATCAGAAAGGAGCCCGGCCATTCGTATGTTGCCACGGATGTAAACTTGACGGTTGACTATTGGCGAGCCAGTCAAATGTCCCATTGGACTCAATGAACTGAGAGTTTCACGCCACACCGTTCGCACCGAAACTGCGCGGACCCACCACCGCCACCTCCGCTCAACACCAGGTGGAGCAAGTGAGGCCTGGTAAGGCCGTGTGACGAAGCATACGTTTGATTGCGGTTAGGTGAGGTGCTTCTCGACTCAGAACAGTATGGTAAACTAATCAAATGTTTGAGTACGGTATCTAACGACAGTCGTCCCCCTGCGGACACCCCCCCAGGGCGCGTCTAAGGCAGAGTCGGAGCGCGCGCAAACATCAATAATTGTGACTATCTCGAGTTTCGGAGGCTCTCTTTTGCTACCAGTCAAAATTTCACCTCGGTAACAACGCCTCATGGGTGTTATGAATTATAACTCAGAGGATAGCGCAGAATACTATAGGGGAACAAGATTACAATATTGTCCAACATAATGAGGCCTATGCAATATATAGGTGTGTTGACCAGGGTTGAATGTCGAGGGTTGGACCAGTCAAGGGCTCGATATTCCCGAGGGTGACGGGGTCAAAATGGGTTCCGGGCGACTCTGGATCAGGTTGGGGCCGAAAAGGTCGACGGGGGCTGGTTTGGCGCGACTTGAGGGCCGAGCGTGCGGACACGAACTGTTCGCGTGTACTCGCTGTGGCGAGCCCCAGCAAGGAATCGTAATTCCTTACACTCTCCCACCTTCTAAAGGAAGGCCCTCCCTTTATCGAGGCCGAACAGTCATCACAAGTAATCACCGATGTGACTGTAAGTCTTCAGCCTTGCGACGTGCGTAATGATTAAGCCGGCCCTAAACCCTAAACCCTAAACCCTAAACCCAGATGCTCCCACACAACTGCACACCCACACGTCCTCGTGTGATCGTGTCGTTCTGAAATTGTCGGATCCGCCCATTGCCGAAATAGTGTTGAAGTCCCGTCCATCGCCTACAACTAGCCTGCTGGAAACGCCGGGACCCGCGACACAGCTACAGCTCACCCTGCCGCTGCATGGTGCGCTAGACGTACATCGCTGTACATCCCGCCATTTTCGCCACCCCGCGCGCTCCTGACGACCAACTCCCGACCGCCTGAGGACTCCCGTGCACTTGTCTTCTCCTGACGAAGCCTTCGCTTTTTTCGGAAGCCAATTCGAAGACTCCGTTCGAACACCCGAAAATCATGAAATCTCTAACAAACATATCCGAAAAACACGGCAAAAACGTCGCCTACTCTTCGACGGGAAATAATTCCGTCTACGCTCAGGGAAGGGGAGGACCGGCCAATCCCAGCCGTCCATCCGACAGGATCTGACGGCATCGGCAACGCCCGCGCAATTAATGTACGCGACGTCCGCTCGCCATCAGCATCCTTCCGCCCCCTTCCCCGATTGGGTTTGCTCCCCTACAGGAAGCCTAATGGGCAGGAACGTAGCTCTGATACCAGCTGTTATGAATTATAACTTAGAGTATAGCGCAGAATACTATGAGGGAACGTGATTACAATATTGTCCTTAGTAATGAGGCCCAGACAATATATAGGTGTGTTGACCAGGGTTGAATGTCGAGGGTTGGACCAATCAAGGGCTCAATAGTCACGAGGGTGACGGGGTCAAAATGGGTTCGGGGCGGCTCGGGATGAGGTTGGGGCCGAAAAGGTCGACGAGGGCTGGTTTGGCGCATGACTTGAGGGCCGAGCCTGCGAACACGAACTGTTTGCGTGTACTCACTGTGGCGAGCCCCTGTAAGGAATCGTAATTCCTTACAATGGGGCATCTCCATTGGTGTTTTGGACAAAAGCTTATCTTCTATAAACTGAACTCTTATGAAAACATAAGGTTTCCTTATCATATAGATTGGTGTAATCATTACAATGCAATCTGAACGATATGACGTGAAGAAATAATTAAACAAGGTAATCAACCAAGTGTCATAGTAACAGTGTGAGGAACAAACCAAGAGGTGCATTGTAGTGTAAACTTGTGTGAAAGTTATGGAAATGAATATATCAATTCGACTCATCGAAGCTGCCTTAGCGACCGTCGCCAAACTACCGAGATGACACCCGAATGTCCTCAACCGCATGGCAAGTACTCGTCGACCATAAATCGTTACTTTAGTATGACGCTGCATGCGATGGGAGAACGAAGATAGTGTCAAAACATATACAGTATGTCTATGTCTTAAGGGCTAGATAGGTGCGTACTCTTAGAGAGTACAACCCCTTAGCACAAAAGCGTATCTCTCATTCTAGTTACTTTTGAACTCTCAGATGGTATCATGCGCTAGGTTAGGTCCTCCCAGCCCACCCGTGCTTCCGCCCTAGTCCTAACCCTAGCCGCCTATCGCTAGCCGCCCGTTTCTAGCTGCCCGTTTCTTACCGCCCGTAGCCGGCAGCAGCCTATAGCCGCTGGCCGCCCACAGCCGCCAGCCGACCGTAGTCGACAGCCTCGTGCTTTCTGGCCCCAAGCTCGCCAGCCCCGCACCCGCTGGCTCCGCGCTCGCCGGCCCCCTGCTGGCCCCGTTCTCGCTGGCCCCGCGCTCGCCAGCTCCACGCTCACCAGCCCCGCGCTTTCTAGCCCCGCGCTCGCCAGCCCCACGCCCGCTGGCCCCGTTCTCGCCGGCCCCCGTGCTTGATGGCCCCCGCGCTCGCCAGCCCCGAGCCAGGTGGCCACGCATATCCCGGCCCCACGCTCTCTCGACCCACGCCCGTCAATCCCGCGCTCGCTGGCCCCTAGCTCGCTGGCCCCATGCTCGCTGGCCCTGCGCTCACCAGGCCCTAGCTCGCCAGTCCCCAGCTAGCCGGCCCCCAGTTCGCTGGCCTCCAGCTCCATCGACACCGGCTCCACCAGCTACAGCCCGCGCCGGCCCTGCGCTGTCCAGCCGCCGAGCCGCAGTGCCGCCGTGACGCTGTGTCGCTGCGACGCTCTGCCGTCCCGACCTACCGACCTTGGCTCCCTTCTGAGCCGGCACACATGCCGGCTGTCTCCAGTGCTCTCCACCGCACTCCACCACTTTACACTGCTCTCCACTGCACTCCACCACACTCCACCGCTCTCCACCATTCTCTATCGCACTCCACCTTACCCTACCGCTCTCCATCACCCTCCTTTGCCTTTCCTCCTCCCCTTGTAAGTGGCAGTCCGATGCCGCAGTCGTGGTGATGGTGGCCTCACTGCTCCGCCTGGATGGCGAGGGTCCGGACGTTGAGTTTGAGGCGTGGCTCGTCGACCTCCGCCGCCAACTGACCGGGCAGTGCCAGAACGGCCACTCCCTGGCCGTCCATGTCGACGGTAAGCTTCCTCGCCCCGCCCCGCCTGCTGCCCTCCCTGCCCACCCCACGTCCACTGAGCGTGAGGCCTTTGTCACCGCCGCCCTTGTCTATGCATTCTGAGACTTGCGCGACGCTGTTGCTCAGCTTGTCATTAGCCACGCCCTCCCCCTACCCGAGCATCCCCGCTTTACCGCTGTAGCGAATGCCAATGACCACTTAGATGTCGTCAACGCATGCTATTCCACCCCTGCCTTAGCCCTTGCCAGCTGTCTGATCCTCCCCATGCTGTTCCCTGACCTTGCGTCCTTCCCCACTATCGTTGTCCTTGCCACGCACCTCTGCGATGTAGAGGGTAGCTACTGCATCGCTAGCACTGAGGCACAACTCACTGCCTTCCCGCCGTCGCTCTGCGCTACCCTTTACCTCATTGTCACACGCCTACCTGACCGCCTAGCCACTGCCCGCGACCACTTTCTTAGTAAGCACCTAGGTGACCTCACCCTCCCTGCCTTTGTCACTGCCGTGTCCACCATAGAGACCCACCAGTGCACTATCGCTCAATCTAGAGGTGCTGCACAAGTCACTATCTTCCAGGGCTGTGCTCCCACCCAGTGCACTTACTCTGACGTTTTTGCGGCTGTTGATGAGACACCCCCTGTTGCTGAGACTGCCGATGCGGCCTTAGCGCAGCAGCATCAGGGTAGGGGCCGCCGCACCAAAGGGGGGCGTGCTAGAGGGAAGGGTGGTGGGGGTGGTGGAGATGGGGGTGGGGATAGTGGTGTAGACGACGAGACCGGGGCTGGTGCCCCGGAGCAGCAGCAGCAGCCGCAACAGCAGCAGCAGCCTCAGCAGCAGCAGTCGCAGCAGCAGCAGCAGCAGCCTCAGCAGCAGCAGTCGCAGCAGCAGCAGCAGCAGCAACAACAGCCACCGTGGGGACCACCGCCGTCATGGTGGCCTGGTGGCACTGGTGGTGGTGGTCGTGGTGGTGCCATGCGCGGCTCGGTATCGGGTGGCGGCTCCAGTGTGGCCACCTGGCAGTACCAGCTCCAGACCAGCCCCCGCCGTGGCATCGTCTGCCACCGTCCAGGTCCCACCGCCGCCCGCTGCTACCGCCGCCTTGACGACCTCTATCGTCTCCGCTTTGGTCCCACCTCGGACCCTCCTGACTGGTACGCCATGGTTCGCCATCGTGTGCCCGCCTTTGAGCTTGACATGGATTAGATTAGGAATGCTATGTATGTCATGTATGCTGATGACTCTAGTGTGACAGGTTCTTATTACCCTGTGGTGCCTAGTGTAGGTGTATCTCATGTGTGTAGTCTAGGTTCCCCTGCTGCGTCAGGCGTAGGATCTCCTGCTTGGTTTAACTTAGGCTCTACGCTAGCCCTTTGCCAATTGCCGCTACTGCAGACGCTACTGCTTCGCTCTCTTTCACGCTCGACTCTGGCGCGTCTGCCTGTGTCTTCCATGACCACACTTTGCTAACTCCGCGTGCTGCTCGAGCCGCTGTAGCGCTTGCTGACCCCTCCTCAGGTTCGGTTGTCGCACATATCTCCACTACCCTTCCCTGTCCGGCGGTCCCCTCGGGCTCTCTTACAGGCTTGCACATCCCCTCGTTCTCCAGGAACCTAGTCGTTGTCGGCTGTTTTCAGGACCTTGGCATCACCACTATGCTCCTTGGACAAGAGCGGTACGCCATCTGTATCGAGGGCGCCACTGGTGCCCCTCTTACCACGTTCCCCCGAGGTCCCGTGTCTGGCCTGTTCACGCTAGACACTGCGTCCCCCCCGGTGGGAGCGTCCACCCAGGTCGCCACTCCTCCTCGCTCCCCCCTACCACTATGCCACTCCATACCCTGCACGCGGGCGTTTGGGGTCCTGCCCCTGTCCCTGCGTCGCGTCGTGAGCGCTACTTTCTAGTGTTTGTCAACGATTCCACACGCTACACCGCGGTGTTTCCCCGTTCGCGGTTCGCTTTGCCGCTCACCATCTTAACATATGGCCACACTCCCAGTGGCTGCAAGTTTTGCTGACCCTCCTCTAGACTGGGTTCCCAGGTGACACATCTGTGTTCCATGTCTGGGGATGCATTGCTCACATTCGTGCCTCTGGCACAAACAAGCTCACTGCCCGCATCGTCCCTTGTGTCTTCCTTGGTTTCCACCTCGATGCGTCTGACTAGCACTATTACCACTCGCCATCTCACAGTTTCTTTCACTCCCACGACGTCACTTTTGACGAGTCTCTCTCTCTCTACACCCGCTTTCCCCACTCCTCCGGTAGCCCCTGCTCCTCTTCCTCCATGTCCTGCCCCGTTTGGTGTGTCTCACGTCACTCCCCTCCTATCGGTTGTCCCGGTCGAGGAGTCGATTGACTCCGGGGGCCCCGCGGCTTCGGTGACCTATCTCTACCCTGATGTCCCCTCCTCTGCCACCGCAGCAGCAGCCGTCGCTGCCGCTGCACCCGCAGCAGCAGTCATCGCAGCCGCAGCCACCGTCGTCATCGTCGTATCAGCAGCCACCACAGGGGTCCTCGAGCTCTGGGGGTGCAAACGTTGAGGAGGGTGCTAGTCCTGGGGGTACTGTCGTGGCTTGTCCCGGCTGTCCTAGGGGTGGCACCGGTGCTGGAGAGGGTTCTCGTTCTAAGGGTGCTAGGTCTAGGGGTGCTAGTCCTGGGGTTACGGTCTTGGGGGTGTCACCAATGTTGGAGAGGGTTCTCGCTCTGGGGGTGTTGGAGTGGAGGCTCCCGGAGGTAGCCATGGTACAGCAGGAGGTCCTGGTGTCGGCGTGGAGCAGCAGCAGCAGCAGTCGCCACCGGTGTCCGCCCTTCACCTCCTCGATCTTCCCTCCCCTGACCGCCCGCCTGTGCCTTCTCCGCCTGTCTACGGTCCTGTGTTTCCTCCGCCGGATTCGACTCCGGCTAATTTTCCCCCGCGTTCTCCTTTTTATCTCTCCTCCTTTGTCTCGAGAACCCACGCCTCCATCCCCCTTCTGGTCTCGTCGTCCCTCTTGTGCTCGTTCTGTATCTTCTGTCAAGCACTCTCACCCTATGTTGCTTCGTTCCCACGCGTCTCATCCTCCCCTCCTCCCGTCGCCTCCTCCGTCGTCGATGGCTGTCGCTCCGCCTCTCCTGTCTGACTTCCTCCGTGCCACTAGTCCTCTTGTTCCTCAAGTCCTCACCTCTCTTGTTACCAACCTGACTATTTGTAAGGAATTACGATTCCTTACTGGGGCTCGCCACAGCGAGTACCGCGAACAGTGCGCGTCCGTAGGCTCGGCCCTTGGTTATCACGCCAAACCAACCCCCGTTGACCATTTCGGCCCCAACCTGATCCCGAGTCACCCCGAACCCATTTTGACCCCGTCACCCTCGGACTATCGAGCCCTTGACTCGTCCAAGTCTCGACATTCAACCTGGTCAACTCGCACTGTATAAGCCCTAGGTCTCATTTGGATAGGACATTGTAATCACGTTCCCCTATAGTATTATGCGCTTTACTCTGAGTTATAATTTATAACAGCTGGTATCAGAGCTACGTTCCTGCCCATTAGGCTTCCGGTAGGGGAGCAGACCCAATCGGGAAAGGGGGCGGAAGGATGCTGATGGCGAGCGGACGTTGCGGAAATTAATTGCGCGGGCGTTGCCGATGCCGTCGGATCCTGTCCGATGGACGGCTGGGATTGGCCGGTCCTCCCCTTCCCTGGTCATAGACAGAATTACTTCCCGTCGAAGAGTGGACAATGTTTTCGCCATGTTTTTTGGGTATGTTCTTTAAAGCTTTCATAAATTTCGGGTGTTTGGACGGAGTCTTCAGATTGGCTTCCGAAAACAACGAAGGCTTCGTCATGAGGAGACAAGTGCACAGAGTCCTCAGGCGGCCGGGAGTTGGTCGTCAGGAGCGCGCGGGGTGGCAGAAATGGCGGGATGTATGGCGATGTACGTCGGACACGCCATGCAGTGGCAGGGTAAACTGTAGCTGTGTCGTAGGTCCCGGCGTTTCCGGCAGGCTAGTTGTAGGCGATGGACGGGACTTCAACACTATTTTGGCAATGGACGGATCCGACAATTTCGAAATGACACGATCACACGAAGATGTGTAGGTGTGCAGTTGTGTGGGAGCAGCTAAGATTAATGACCTCGGCGCTATTCAGCACGCCGGCCATCTGGAACTGATGACGCTGTGCTGGAGTGAGTGTACTCAGCGAGGGCGACTTCCCGCGTGGGGAGGCGTTTTTCGTGGACCAGCGTTTCATACCCCACGATCAACGGAAATGGAGGCCACCACCCCTGGGTGTGTATTAAGTGTTTTTCCACCGGTCGCCAAATGCGTTAACTGCCAGAAGTTGAAGCAGTGGGAGAAGAACGACGGGAGTACTGGAGTAGATGGGTTAGCGGTGTTCGGGCTGCTACTCGCTCAGCTACATCGCACGGAAATGACCATTCCCACCAGGTAGCATTGTCGACTTAATCGACGGCTTCTGGCTGAATAAGGGGGGTGAACCTGCAAACTACACTGTACTGATGGAGTGCCAAAAAATTTAGGAGTTACTGTTGCAGTCGAGCTGAGAGTTTTCACCTGGTGTAGCAGGCGGAGGTTCCGACTTTTACGGGTGTAGTTTGACGAGATTCCGACGGAGGAGGGAGCTGTCCAACGGTCACTAGGCGAGCTCGTTAAAGCTCCTCTGACTAGAAGCATGCGCACTCCTATCTCTGTGGAATCTCCTAGTTTGTTAAGCAGCAGCGAAGCGGTTTTGGGTAACCTGCAGCAGCCGCGAGATGGGTGAATGTCTGCACGGCCAGCTAGACAGGAGTATCGGAGTATTTTAGAGTTGGGTAACAGCTGAGCGGAGATCGACGTCGTCTGATGCGCATTGACCCTAATCGATGGCCAAAACATCATGCCAAGGCGGTGGACTCCGATAAACCCTAAGCTAAAGGGTTCAGTTGATGCGTACAGCTGGTGGAGACACCGTGGGGGCGCTGCTAAAGGACGCCGTGACGCCTGGGCATATTTACGGGTAGCTGTGAAGCTGTGTTGCAGTTTTGGTCAAGTATCGATGGAGTTCCGACATTTTCGGTGGGGTTGAGGAGCAGTTCAAGAGTTTACAGCTAGCGTTGTGCCCGCTATCTTCAGGGGTACGAGCAACATCGACCGATATTCTCGGAATATTTTGGGTGCATAGAGGAGAAGAAGCGCAGCAGCAGTTTCGGCTCTTCACGATTTTTTCGGCATGTACGGACAAAGAAGCTGATGCAGCTGGCGGCATTTGACACCAGGTTCTGTTCGAGGATATTCATGGGAGTGGTTTGGTACAGATTACAGGTTATGGCCATCATTGTCCACCTCTCGCCATCACTTGTTACAACCTCCATTCTTCATATGCCTGCATCGCTATTCGAATCTACAGCAGCCGTATCAAAACAAGGAGATTTAGCAGCAGTACTGTGGAGCTGTGTTTTGGGCTAGCTAGCACGCAGTGTTTTGACCTTTGAAGAAATTTAACATTCGTGTGGGAGTCTTCTGGAGCAGTAGTTGCGGGATTTCAAGACCATAAAAGGTGGTTTACCCTGATGAGGCATTTCAAGTTTGGAGCATCTTTGGGAATTATAGCGGTTGGAGTTTTTGCAGCGGCAAATTGGAATCTGATTTATGGGATTTTCAGTAGCAGTGTGGGATTTCTTCGACTACCCTGGAGCATTGGGTTTCCTGGAGTTCTACCTGGAAAATTGGGGGATAATTTCTTTTGAAGGGGGGGAGAAGTGCAGCTGTGCTGCAATTTTCCGACGACCTTTCCGGCGTGTTCCATTAACCATTTTCGACCGACATTCATCATCGTTACGCTTCCGCACCTGATTTCGTCACTTTGTTTATGGAGTTCGCTGACTTTCGTGGGACACGGACGCGTGCTCTCGCATGTGACTCGAACGACCTCACGTTTGATGAACGGGTTCTTCATTTCATCGACCATCATGTTATTCGCCC